GGCTGCCAAGGCCAGGGGGGGGTCGGAGGCAGGGGGGGGGGGAGGAGGAGGGAGGCGGGAAGCAGCAGGCGGGCGAGGAGGGAGAACGAGGAAGGAGGCGGCCGGAGGGGAGGAGGGTACGAGGCAGGGGGGAGGAGAAGGGAGGGGGAACTGGTGGGCCAGCATGGGGGGGCAAAGGAGGAGGGAAGGGTGACGAGAAGGAGGGGCGGAGGGAGGGAGGGGTGGCGGGGGAAGAGGGGAGGGGGGACGGGGGAAGAGGGAAAGGGCGTCCTCGGAAGACAGGAAAAAGTGGAAAGAGTGGCTGCGGCCAGAGCGGTGATGGTCGTTGGATGTCACCAGGCGCGGCACGCATCACCGAAGGACCCGTGCTGCAAGTCGGAAGGTTTTCCATGCGTGAGAAGTGAAAGGAAGATGCTGCAGCCAAGCGATTCAGAAGTGCCCTGGTGGATCGCAGCGCCCCGCTGGGAACCGGACGACGAACTAGCCGTTTGCGGCTCGTCGTCGTCACCTTCGCGGCTAACAGGCCGCAGCCAGCGACCCACACAAAAAAAGAATTATGTTCTTGAGTCGTCCCTGTCTGAGTTGATTTCTAATCGCTTGGTCGCATGAGGGAGGGAGGGAGGGCGTCGTTGGAGCTCCATGGCAGTCAAGGACAGCCCCTGATGCGCCCGACGCTGGCGGCGCTGTGCCCAAGGCCCAGTAACACGCTCCCGCCGCTTGCGGAAAAGGATTTGCTGACATCGACATCGGAGCGGTGCCTTTCAACGAGCTATGGGCAAGCACGAGGAGGAGGGGGTCGTTGTTTTCCTCCCCCCTTTGGTTCCTCGTCCCCCTCATGTTCACGAGCTTTGCCCTGACCGCTCTACGCATTTGCGAGCTTGGCTGCTTTCTTTCTCTCCCCATTTCGTCCTCCCCGATTATTCCTCCTCCCGTCGCCTTGCCCATCCTCGCCCCGACTTCTGAGGAGCAGCGTTGGGAGATGCCTGCCCGTCGGTTTTGGATCCCGCACCCGCCGTAGAAAACATCTGGAGTTGGGAAGGAGTTCGGGGTTAGAGTTGGGAGCAGCTGTGGCGCCAGGAAGGGGTACAAACAGAAAGCGGTTTGGTTAAAATCGCTTCTGGGGAAGGGAAGGGTGACGCATTTGTTGATACGGATCTTGGAGGCTAGGAAAATGCTTAAATTGGAAACGCTTGGGTTGGGAAGAAGTCGGGTGTTGGGAAAGATGTTTGGGTTGGGGCTGGTGTTACACAGAAGACGCATGTGGGAAGGATGTTGGGGCTCGCACGGGCATGAGATAGAACACATTTTGGCTGGGACGGCTTTGAGGCTAGTGAATATTGTATGGCCAAAACGCTTGGGCTGCGAAGGATTTGCGGGCTCGGATCTGCAATGGAAAACGCTTTGGTTGGGAAGAAGTTTTGGGCCAGGGATTTACAGAAAACGATTGGGCTGGGAAGGAGGAGGTCGGGGAGGATTTACCCAGAATTTGCTTTGATTGGGCAGGGTGCTGAGGTTGTGAAGGCTTGTACGCAGAAGGCGTTTTGGCTGGGACGGATTCTGCGGCGAAGAAAATGTGTCATACAGAAACGAGTTAAGTGAAGAGAGTTCTGGGGGTCGGGAGGATTTGACACAGAAGACGCTCGGACTGGAAAGGACTTTGGGCAGCGAACTGGTTGTGTACAGAAAACGCTGCGGTTGGTAAAAGGTTCTGGGGTCTGGAAGGATCTTGCACCGGAAACGTTTGGGTTGAGATGGGTTGTGGGGTTAGGTCGGTGCTGAGAAATAGTTCTGGTGTCCGGCAGGAGTTCACTGAGAAATTGTTTTGGTTGGGAAGGGTTTTGGGGCAATGAGTGATTTTACACAGAAGCCGTTTGGGTTGTGAAGGATCCGATGTGTTAGGAATGATTTCGCATGGGAAGCACTTGCGTTGGGCCTGTAACGGGTGTTAAAAGAAAACGCGTTGGTTGGAAAGGATGTTGGATGCTAGGAAGGATTTGCACAGGAGATGCTTGGGCTCGGACGGGTTCTTTGGTTTAGGAATGGCTTGAAATAGAGCACGCTTTGGTTTGGAAGGCGTTGGGGATTAGGAAAGGGTTTACACCGAAAACGCTCGGGCTGAGACGGACGTTGGGTTTAGAAGCGATGTTGCACAGAAAACGCGTTGGTTGGGGAGGACTCGTGTGTTGGGGAAGATTTCTGGCACAGAGAACGCTTAAGACTGGAAATGGTCTCAGGTTAGGAAGCATGAAACATAGAAAACCAGTTCGTTACGGTCTTCGCGACCAGGATTAAATATAGAAAACCAGTTCTCAGGTTTGCCGACGTTCTTTGAGGAGCGCGTCCTGGATTTCGACGGTAAAGTTGTCGTGGAAGGTCTGCTGCGAGAGCTCGCGTCAAATTTCAGATTGCGTCTCGTCATTTTATGATGACCCCGTCAGGCCAACCCGAATCCCCGCACCCGAGTCTTACGACTCCCCGATTCTGGCCGCTGCCGGCCAGCTCATTTGGCGAAGCTTTCTCGTTGGATGCGCTCTCGCTCTACCGCGCCGCACGCTCGGACCGAGATATAAGATCGAGGTTGGCTCGGGGAGGTATTTAGCCTTGCTGTTCCTCGTGCTCGTCGGATGCTCTCGTGCATCCTGGGGGAGGGCACCCTCCATTGTTCTTCAGTTTGGCCGGCGGAGGGTCTCATGTCTTGAAGGATGTGTATCTATCCGTGGTCCGGCTGGACCTGCATCCGTGATCCGCTTACCGTCTTGGGCGTGGACTTGCCCGCCCGCGGCGTTGGCGCGTGCCCCGAGGCCCCCCCCCGACGACGAGTCCTTGCGTGGCGCGGGCCGCTGCCCTCCAACGGCGGTTCCCGCCCCCCCCCCTCAGCCTGGTCCGGCTCGATCCTCGGCGGCGATCGCCTTGCAGCCTCCTCGCGGCCCCCCTGGCCTCGCCGGGCTCCGCGCTGCTGCCCGGCACCTCGCGGCCCGCGCGGCTTTCCCCGGCGGTGCCCGTCCTCTCGCGGCCTGGCCGGTCACCTTCAGGGTGATCGCTGCGCCGTCGCCCCGCCGGCCTCTCTGCCTCGCCTGCCCCGCTTCCTTGAGTTCGGGCTCCTCGCGGCCACCTCCGCCGCCTCTCTGGCTGCGCCTGCTCCCTGCTCGTGCGCGGGGCCCTCCCCCCTCGCCCTCCGCCCTCGCTGGCTTGGCCGGCCTCCTGGCCTCTCTCGGTAACGCTCGGCCGCCAGCTTCCCGCCCTTCGCCGCCTCCGTCGATCGCGGACGCCGCCCTCATGCGCAGATCTGCCAGCGGCGCCTCCCCTCGCTGCCCCGCCCTCGCTCCGCCCCTTGCCCCGCCCTCCGTGCTTCGGCGCAACCTCCGCCCCCCGCTGCTGCTGGGCGTTCGCGCCCGCCCTGCTGCCCCGCCGCCCGCCACCACCCGCCCGCAGCCCGCCTCCCGCCCTGAGGGACACGGGCCCTGAGGTCTCCGCCATTTTCGGGCTCTCGGGGCCCTCCACGGGCCCCGGGACGGTTCAGGATGAAGAGATAAGGTCCCGGGCCAGGACCCGCTTCCCTCAGGACTTGGTTCCACCATGCTAGCCTTAAGTCGGGCCTGTCCCTCTACAGGGGGAATATTCAAAAATAGTCAAAAGATAGTCTGGGGACTGTTTTTTTGAATGTCTTAACATGTTTCAACTATTTTTATTGTTCGTCCAAAGACTGCCTGTAGGAGGACACGCCCGACCTAATGCTAGCCCTTGCCGCTCCAGCGCCGCCAGTGCCGCCCCTGGCCAGGCCATGGCCTCGAGAGGGGCCGGCCGTCTCTTCTTGTGCGTGCCTCTTTTCGGCCACTGGCCGCGCGCGCGGTGAGCTTCCCGGCCACAACCCCAGACATGATCGCGTCGTGAGAAAATCAGGACGGCAAGTCTTTCGCTATTTCGGCCCCGGGGGACCCTGGCTATAGGCCCCGGGACCGTCAAATAACGACGCAGGATGGAAAACCGGCCCTGGGCAACGGGTCTGGACTTCCGGGGATGCCGTCCTGACAAAATCGGGACGTCGCATGCTCCGCCGTGAGTTCTCCACGACGCGAGGCGGCCTATGCGATCGTAGACGAACGACGAGCATAAACGTTCGGGCGGCCGCGCGGACGTGTTGGATCGGCGGTGGACCCCCCTGGCTGGCGCGTGGAGCGCGCCAGGGCTGGCGCTGGAGGCGCCGCCAGTTCGCTCCAGCGCCGATCCGAGAAATCCGCGCGGACCTCCGAAAGTTGATGTTCGTGCCAGGGCCCTCGAGTTAGGCTCCAGAGAGACAGCCCCCCCCCAGGTAGGCACGGCTAGCATCACAATACGACGGATCGATACACCCTAGGCGATGCTTAAGAAAACTGAAGTTTTCGGCCAGAGTCTCGATTACTCTGAATGTTTCAATGTAAATCTTAAGATGTCAATAGAAATTCTGGGCTTTTATTCAAATTCTGAGACTATGAATTTCTCAGCACATGGTTTCTTCAGCATTTCGCAGAGTGTACGACGGACCGATGCGGCAGATTCGATCCGCAACTGGAGCGGGGGACGTTGTTGATGGGTGCCTGCGGGGAAAAAAATGGGTACAAAAGCCACGGCGGGCCTCAGCACGCCCCCCGTGTATGGTCCGGGGGGTCTCCACACCCCCAGCCTTGGGGCGCGAGGGGCCCCACGGGGCGCCACCAAAGGCAGCGCGGGGGGTGTTGAGACCGCCCTGGGCTGCCTGGGGGGGGGCCCGTTGAGGTCAGCGGGGGGCTACACCCTGGGCGATGCTTAAGAAAACCTCACAATTTCCGGCCAGAGTCTCGATGGTTCTTGACGTTTCAGTGTAAGTCCTGAGATCGTAACAGAAATTCTGGTGTTTATTCAGAATCTGAGACTCTGAATTTCTTGACCCATGATTTCTTAAGCACTTCGCAGGGTTTGCTCAGGGGGGCCTGTCCACGCAAGCCGCCGGGACTGCTCGGGGGGGCGGCCTGCGCGCAACCCGCAGCCTTCTACCGCGCGAGGCGGCCTGCGGGCCGCGGATTCCCCCGGCGGAGCCGTTTGCCCGCCGGGGCGCCGGCCAGCCTTGGCGGCGCGCCCAGGGGGGAAGCGAGGGGGGCGCGAGGCCTCGGCCGGCGGCGTGGGGCTGCTCAGAGGCCCTCGGCCGCCCGCTGTCTGCGGGGGAGGCCCGGAAGACTTCTCGGAAGGCCGCCGGAGGCCTTCCGAGCCTTAATGCTGAGGAGCCTGAGAGCCGACGTTCCGCAGCAAGAGATCGCAACCGCCTGGAGCCCTGGACTCTCCACCTCTCTGCGCCACGTCACGAGCCGGGTCGACACGTGAGGGCCTTGGGGCGAGGCCGGGCGGAGGCGCCCGGCTCGACGAGAAGCGCGGCGCCAGCATCTCCTCGAGCATCCTCCCCGGGCTCGCCGCCGCCAGCCCCCACGATGGCCGAAGGAGAGGCCAGCCGCTTCGAGGAGCTGCTGCGCGAGCTGCGCGCGGAGCACGAGCGGCTGCTGCAGCACCTACCGGCCCTGGGCGCGCAGGCTGGGCCTCGTCCGACCTGCCGGCAAGCATTATGGGCCTCGTCTGAACCCCTCGGCATCGCTCGGGCCCCGGGACCGTCCAAAAACGACTCAGGATGAGAAATCGGTCCTGGAGAATGGGTCGAGAGACGTCGGGGGGCCGGGAAATCGGGTCCCCGAGTAGGGTCATGAGCTTTGGCTTAGCGTGTCGCTCCGCGGGTTCTGGCCCACCGCGCTTCGCGCGACACACCACCCAAGTCCTTGTCCCGAGCGTCAACTTCCCGAGCCGTGTCGAGCCTCCCGCCCCGCGGAGCGGAGCGACACGCTATCCGCTCGTCTGGCATAATTAGCGTGCCGCCGGGGCCGCCGCCGCGACACGCTCAGCAAAAGTTCCTGGCCGTAGATCTCCCAAATGAAGTCCAAGTAGATGAGGTCGGAGGATCTCGCCGCATCGCCGATGCATCGGCGATGCGGCTCAATGCGGAGCCCGAGGTTCTCCGCGCCGACGTCGCCGATGCCTCGCCGACGTCGCCGGTGCATCGAGGAGGTGGCGCGATCCTCCAACGCATTTGCTTACTCCGACCCGATCGAGGCACCTCTAGGCTTGCAACGCCCTGGAAAGAGCAGGACGGTGGCTTCCCCCAGTTGGTCGGACAACGGGGCCTTCAAGAAAACGACTCGCGGGGGGGGGGCAAAGCGGGCCCTGGGGACAGGGTCGGGACTTCTGGGGGCCGCGTTGTGAAACTGGCACCTGCCCCGGCGTCTGGGTCCCCAGTCCCAGTGTCGGGGGAACGCAGGACCCGAGTAAGCCGGAACTCGGGTTTGCCGACGTTTTTTTGACGAGCGCGTCCTGAATTTTGACGGTCCAGTTTTCGTGGGATGTTTGCAGCTTGAGCTCGCGTCAAATTTCAGATTGGGCCTCGTCATTTTCATGATGGCCCCGTCGGGCCAACCCGAGTCCCCCGTACCCGAGTCTTACGTCTCCCCGACAGTGGGCCAGGGACCTCCCCGCATCCCTGAGCTCTGGGCGCTGCAGCCGTTTCACACCGAGCGCTTTCGCCCAGCGTCGGATCGGGGGGGGACCCTCTCATGGCGATGGCAAACGTGGATCAAGAGGGCGCGGATTAGCGACGGGCCCCGCTTCCATTGGAAATCGCAGTTCTCCGCCGCCGAATGAGGCGTCACCGGCCGCATTTTGGGGAGGGCACCTCCCCCGATCCATGTCGGGGGTGGAAAAGAGGGGGGTGATGACTAGGGGGGGGGGATATCATGGCGTGGGCCATGATATTTCCCCGGATTTTATGTCGCCTCTTCTTATTTCATTACGTCCCTGGCCCCCCCGCTGGGCCGCGCACATGCCGCCGGTCATGATTTGCACCCCCCCCTCTTGGACACCCCCCTCTTGGCCGCTCCCGACCATGTATCTGGCGACCGCGCGCCAAGTCCATGGATCGCCAATCCATGTCTGCGCGCCCCCTCGACCCCTCACGGAGTGGGTCGGCTCGGCGTGTGGAACAGCAATGGGGGGGTCCGCGGCGCCAGATCTCCGATCCAGCCTCACACGATGCGATCCCCGTCATGGCTTCGTCTTATTTTCTTTTCTCCTCCTCCTCCTCCTCCTCATCCTCCTCCTCCTCCTCCTCCCCCTCCTCCCCCTCCTCCCCCTCCTCCGCCTCCCCCTCCTCCCCCTCCTCCCCCCTCCTCCTCCTCCTCCTCCTCCTCCTCCTCCTCCTCCTCCTCCTCCTCCTCCTCCTCCTCCTCCTCCTCCTCCTCCTCCTCCTCCTCCTTTCCTTCCCCAGAAGTCATGACCCATTCCCCAGGCCCGGTGCTTCGTCCTGGGTCGTGATCTGTCGGTCCTGGGGCCCGGCGAGGGCCCCCTGGAGTCCGAAAACTGCGACCGACCTTCGTCTTGGTTCTTTCAATGCGTTGGACCTCTGGGCCTCTCTCGCGCGCCGAAGGCAGGCTGGGACCACCCCGCCCCGCTGGCGGAGCTGCCGGACCTGCCAGGGAAGGCGCGCGCCTGCGCCTGGCCATCCAGCGAGGTCGGCGGCGCACGTAAGAGTGACCCTCGGCGCCAGAGTGACCCTGTGGCGCGCGGCCCCGGGGGGGGGGGGGGAGGGGGTGCTCAGGAGGGCTAAACCTGAGATCATGGCGTCTCAGTTGTCTCGAGCTGTAGGTTCGTTCCTTCTCCTCCTCCTCCTCCTCCTCCTCCTCCTCCTCCTCTTCCTCCTCCTCCTCCTCCTCCTTCCGTAGCCATTTTGGCTCAAGACCCATGCTTTGGCGGGCTGAGCCCGCATTGGCAAAAACGGATACCGCTAGTCCGCGGCAGTTATCAACCTTTCAGGAGGTCCCTCAGTCGAGGGGTTCGCGAGCCTCCATCATCCCTTTCCTCTTTCTCGCGCCATGGCTCCTGCAGGCTCTGACGAGTGGGAGCGCCGACCGTGGGTTCAGGCCTCCAGGCCCCGTCGCTGGGGGGGCACCATACCTGAGGGCGGGGCTTCATCGGCTGCCAAGTGGGAGTCCTGGGACGGCCAGCGAGCCAAGCACGAGGAAGTATGGAAGACGGTGGCGGGTCCCAAAGGTGAAATTCTATGCCACCACTGCGGTTGCCGTAAGAACTCTAAAGGATCGATGTGCTGCAAGCATTGTGGCCAGAAGCTCGGTACACGACCCCAACCTCTGGAAGACTCTGGTGGCCCCAAGTCGTCGGATGAGTCGGGGAAGGGAGCGAGCAAGGGGAAGAAAGGATACAAAGTCGGCAAGGGTGATCCTCTCGGTGGCAAAGGCGCTGGCAACCTCTCCTCTGCTCTCCCTCCTGGACCCGTTCCCGAGATTCCTCAGGCCAAGGCCCTCGAACTACAGCGTTTGGCTCGGGAAGCTGGGGACGCTGCGGGGGCCGCGCGATATGGAGCACTGGCGCAGAGGGCGGCTCCACCCCCGAAGCCGTCGGGGAGGCAGCGGCTCGTGGCTGCTGAGCAGAAGCAGGAGAAGCTGGAGAAGCGCCTCAAGGTCGAGTTCGAGAAGCTGCAGCGCTGGCGTCGAGCTACTGACGAGCTGGCGGCCACGGTGGGGACCCTGGCTGACGAGCTGCAGGCCGCCGATGGCGAGGTGGCAGCCGCCTTGGTGGAGCTCCAGAGCCAGCACAAAGGACCACCAGCGACGGAGTCCAGAGGCCCCGCGAGCATCAGCCTGCGCAAGCTCATCGACGGGGAGATGGAGCTGGCTAGCCTTATTTCTTGCGACGATTTCATTGACGTGGAGGCGGTCAAGGGCAGCTACGAGGTGTCCGAGGATGACCTTCGCGAACTCGAGGAGCGCAAGAACGACGTGGCGAAGCAGCTGCAAGAGGTACTTGGTTCGGTGTTTCGGCAAGCGCTGGAGAAGGCCAACTCAGCCCAGGACCAGCACAAGGAGCATCTCAAGCGCCTCCAATCGAAGCGTCGACGCACGGCTGCTGATGGGGAACAAGCATCGGACACAGGTGGGATCGAGTCTGGAACAGGGACTTCGGCGAGCCCAGGGAGCGCGACAGCAGGCTCACCTACCGAGGCGTCGGTGGAGGAGGTGGGCAAGGCGGCCACACAGGTGGACATTCGCTCTCTGGTCGCTGCTGACGGTGGAGTGCAAGCGGCTAAACGGGCGGGGCTTTAGCCACAGCGGGTGCTCGACACAGGTAGGGGCGTCGTGGCCGTGTTCGGCGACTCCTCTTTCCTGGTCATCGGGGGGCGCGGTGCGAGTGGGGACTGCCCGGCGGCGCGCCGTTAGTGACCCTCGCACCGTTGCTCCCCGGCCCCGCGCACGGCGCGGAGAGTTCAACTCTGCCTCTGGCTGGATGGAACAAAAATCGTCGAGGTTGTCTTCGTCGGTTGCGTGTCCATCGTCGGTGTCGCATACTCCCTGCGCTGCTGTGTCGCCGTCGGCTCCGGTGTCGGCAACTCCCTGGTCAGCGGTGGCGTCGTCGACTTCACGGGTGGCGACAACGAGCTTTGTCGGATCGGAGACCAGGTGCGCCTCGAGCCTGGTCTCCTCAGAGTTAAATTGCGAGGAGATGGGGCAACGGAGTTCGGTGATTGGTCAGTGCGCCGAGTACGTGTCAGCCATTCAGAACGCAGCCGTCAAGCCCACCCACAGCTTGGCGGCCTTCTCGTCCAAACCTTTGGCTGCACGCAGTGAAGGAATTTCAGCGTCAGAACGCGACAGCCAGGTGCTCCTCGAACCTGGCTGTCTCAGAGTAGATTGCGAGAGCCCTTCGTGGGATTCGGGTGTTAGAACGCCAAATCCTGGGGGCAACCGATTTTCGGCTGTAGTGCCCTCCCAGGTTCAGTCGCCACGTGCTGGGTCTCGAGCCAAGGGAGTCAGTGTTGAGCAACCTCAAGGAGAAGCTATGGCAGCGCTGCAGCCGAAGCAGGTCATCTCACTGATGGAGGGGCTCCCTCCTGAGGACCGCGGGGCCCAAGGTACGTTCAGAGTGGGCACTCTGAATGCGAATACGTGGCCAAGGGCTCGGAACACTATGCCTTGGATTGAGATGCATTGCCAGTTGCCGCAGGTGTTGTGCATTCAGGAGACCGTACTGGACCAGTCGGGGGAAGCAGGGGCCCATCAATGGACCCGTACTTGCTCTCGGAAGCTGGCGCTGGGTTCGGCAAAGCGCACAGGAGAATCGGCCAGATCTCTCTCAGCTGGAGTGGGCTTGTCGGCGGCCATGAGCATTGGGGTGTCCAAGCTCCAGGTGCCTGAGAGGTGGCAGCATCGGGTGGTGATGAGGCTCATGACGGTAGGCGCTCACTCGTGGATCATCATCGGCTCGGTCTATGGCGTCGACTCGATCGGCCCCAAGGGCGAGAACCTGGAGCTACTGGAGTTCCTCAGCACTTTCCTGGGGGCGCAGCGTTTCCCGTTCCTGCTGGGAGGCGACTGGAACCTTGAACCTGAGGAGATCATGGAGCTGGGCTGGCTGGACCTGGTAGCCGCCACCATCTTCGCACCTGGCTGCCCAACCTGCAATGGCAAAGAGTACGACTACTTCATTGGCTCCCAGGCTCTGGACGCCTTCCCCATGTCGGTGAAGGCCAGGGTGGACACGCCGATCTCGCCACACTGCTACGTGGAGATCAAGCTGGAGGGCTTCAGTGACGAGCCCTTTGTCTGGGTGGAGGCGCCCCCGCGAGCCTTTCCGCTGGCCGACCAGGAGGCCAAGAGGAGGGTCAGGAAGAAGGCCAGGGGCGCCATGGAGACCGTCCTCACCCCGACCACGGGACGGCCTACAATACCTGTGCTTGACGAGTGGCATCTGGATGCCCCTGTGAGCTCGGTTGAGGATGCGGCAGCGATGTGGTTCAAAGCGGCGGAGAAGTACCTCGTGCAGCTGTTCGAGATTCCGATCGCGGACAGGAGATTCTTCTTTGGCAGGGAGAAGGGCGTGGTACTCAAGAAGAAGAGGCTGGTGGATTGTGCGAAATCTATTCTCGAGCGCCACGACGAGACGGACACTAGAGCCTGGCTGAGTGCCCTCAGGCTATGGGATGCCTTATGTGTTGCATCATCAGCTCCGCCTGGGTCGAAGGCAGGCAGACCAGAGCACTCAGAGAGGTGCGAAAGGCAGTTGCTGGCTTTGAGGCTACCTGAGGCCATCTCGGAGTCCCCCTCCCTGCAGGCTAAGGAGGTCCAGAAGTGGGTGGCTCTGGCCAAGAGAGGAGGTCAATTGGCGGCCTGGTTTCGGACGGTGCTTGTGGAGGAGGTGGAAGTTCGCAGGCGCAAAGACTCACAGGCCAGGAGTAAAGCTTGGAGGGAGTTCGGTGAACTTGCTGCTCAAGGCTCGGGCAGGATAGCGCACGCGATCTCCAGGCCCAAGATGTTAGAGGAGGCGCCCACGCTGGCAAAAGGCAAGCCCCACGGTCTGGTGGGAGCTGCGGCGATCACGGCGGTGCTGGAGGAATGGGAAGAGCTGTGGATCTCTGACGATAGGGCCCAGGAGGCAGCGCCGTCTGGTTGGAGTTACCCGTGGAAGCTTGACCCGATATCGGAGGACCAGATCGTCAAGGTATGCCGCTCCTTTGGCATTTCTACTGGGCTTGGCTGGGACAACTTTCACATGAGGCTGGTTACCTTTCTGGATGGGGTGTTTGTGCGGAGACTGCAGGAGATTATCTCCAGTTGGGAGCGCAATCCGCAATGTGAACGCATGTGGGTCACGATCAATGTTTTTCTGCCCAAACCTGGTGGGGGCACACGGCCTATTGGGCTCTTGTGTTTCTGGGCACGCATTTGGAGCAGATGCAGAAGGCAGTATGTAAAGAGTTGGGAGACGTCTGTGGACGCGAAGTTCTTCTGGGGAAAAGATGCCACGACCAGTTGCGACAAGGCGGCGTACTTGCATAACATGCTGGCCTGTTACGCCAGAAGGAAGAAGCTGTCGGCAATTACTGTTTTCTACGACATCCGCAAGTTTTACGAGAATGTCAGTCATCAGCAGCTGCGTGAAGCAGCAGAACACTACGATTTCGACGGCGCCTTGCTGAAGGCGCTCTGCTGCCTGCATCGTGCACCACGGCGGGCGCGCTGGACAGGGGGCACGAGCAGAGTCAGTCACCCGAATGGTACGATCGTGGCTGGATGCAGTGCGGCTACGGGAGTGGCGAAGCTGATGACTCTGTGCCTCCTCAAGCGCCTGGCTGAGGAAACGCCTCCGTGTCGGGCTCTGAATGTGGTCGATGATTTGACGACGCATATCATCGGAGGCCCCAGGACGGTGGTGGAGAACACGGTCAAGAGTTTCGAGATCGTCACCGCCGAGCTGGATTCGAGGAAGTTGCCGATCAATTGGGACAAGACTAGATTCATGATGTCCGATCAATCTCAGCTGCCTGCATTGAGACAGGACCCCAGGTGGAAGCTATCGGACGACAAGCTGGTCATCGCCCACCGTGACCTCGGCGGCGACTCGCTGGACGGCAGGGCGAGGCGGGTCGGCACGCAGACATCGAGATGTGATGCTGCCCGCAGCACCGCACGCGCCCTTCGTCAACTGGGGCAAAGTGAAAAGCACAGTAGAGTTTTTCGTGTGGGTGCGCTGGCTAAAGCTGCGTGGGGGTCCCACATTTTGGGGATCCCGCCGACCACCCTCCATAAGCTCAGGGTCCAAGCTGCGAGATCCTGGGGCCCTCTTCTTCCTGGCACCTCCCTGGGCTTCAGGTTTCTTTCGGCTGCCCGCCTCTGGCTCAGGGACCCGCTTTTGGTGGCTGTGTCGTCGGCTGTAAAGGAATTCGTCAGTGTTTGGTGGGCCCGCTCGGTTTCGAAACCAGTGTTTGAGGCTTGTGTCCAGGATGCCATTGCGGTCCAGGGGAGCAGGGCCCCCTGGGGCCAAGTCCGCCAGCCTGTTGCTGCGCTTTTCCTGCAGCTGGCTCGGATCCGCTGGAGTTTCGACCTGTCTCGAATGGCCCTGGTTGATGACCTCAACCGTGTGTGGTCTATTGATCGGTTTTCGCCCAAGTTTTTCACCCTTCTCCTGCGTGGCTCGGTCGTCAGGACTATAGAGCGGGAGGAGCAGTTGAAACAGTTTGATTTCGGGACCTGGAGCGGCCCAATCTTCTGGCAGCCAATTCATCAGCTCCTTGGGCGGAAGTGTTCAGAGTCGTGGACGAAGTCGCATAAGGCAGCCCTGTCAGCTCTGTGTGCGAATGTGTACTGGAGCCAGCACAGAGTGTGCGAGCACAGTCCTGAAGCCCCTGACCAATGCCAGCTTTGTGGAGATGGTAGGGGCACTTTGTACCATCGCAGGTTTCAGTGTGTGGCATTCGCTCCCTGGCGACGCGAGAACCTGGATCCCGTGGTGGAGAGGGCGGCTCGTGCGATTGGCCATCTCCCCACTTCGGCTGGAGAACTTTTTAGCAGAGGTCTCTTCCCCAACCCTGCGGCCTGGGTGGAGCGACCCCCCCGCGACCCGCAGGACCCGTGCACCAGGCACTTTCAGTGGCCTCAGGACGGCCCCCTTTTCATTCCGGAGGGGGCCCATGTGTTCACGGACGGGTCGGGTTTTGAAGGGGAGCTCACAGGACTCGGGACCGCGGGGTGGGCTGTTGTGGTGCTGGACAGGCTCGGGAGGACCCTCGCAGCCCTTTTTGGCGTAGTGCCGTTCGGGGAAGCGCCTGGACAACTAGCACGGGATGGCGAGGATTTTGCAGTTCTGATGCTCTCCCGCCGCTCGGTCCTCGCCTCAGGGGTCTCGCTTCATGTGGACTGTGCGGCCACGGTCGGCTGCCTCCGAAACCTCTCGGGGGCTGCTGGAGCGGCCTCGGCCCGAGCCCACTGGTGGGCGGAGATTGGGGACTGTTTAGAAGGCGTAGCGGTGCATCAGATCCCGTCTCACTCGTCAATGTTGGATGTCAGGGACGGCCGTATCACGGAGATGCAGCGTTTCGGGAACTCGGAGGCGGACAGACTCGCCAAGGAAGGAGCTGAACCATTCCGAGTTGCGCGCGAGGACCGCCTGTTTGTGTCAGGATATGCTGAGTTCGTCCGACGAGTTGGGCTGTACAGTGCCAGGCAGCAGGTAGAATGCAGAGACTTAGCCCTGAATGACCATCAAGGGCTGGAATGGCTCAGCTACGTCCTCCTGGACGCGGTCCCTGGCCTCCCCCTTCCTGGTTCGGACCCTGGGGAGGGTGAGCCAAGTGCGGAGTGCGAGGTGCCTCTGGGTGCGCCAGGTGCGGGGGAGGTCCCTGGCGTCACCCCTGGTGCGAACTCTGGTGAGCCGCCTCCTGAGAACCCCCCGACCCCAGGAGCTTGGCTCCAGCTGGGACACTCCCTTGAACAGGGCGTGGTTTATGAGTCGGATGGCTGCACGTATCACGATACTATGCTGTGCTGCACGGCGTGTGGTGCTATGGCACATTCCAGCACGAAACGGGGGAATCTTCGGTTGAGGTGTCGTCCTGTCGCGTCGTGGGGACGGGGGTTCTACCTTGACCGATTTCGTGCTGGACGGTATCCTGCCCATCGGAATCCTCGAGGGCTCACGATGGCGTACACGGGGGCCCCCTCTCCTGAGGTTCGCTCGGAGTGGAGGCCCTACTTCGAGGCCTGGTCCCTGGGCCGCGACCGCCCGCCGAGAGTTGCTCGGGGGGCCCAGCCCTCGCGCGGCGGGGGTCCCGCCGCAGACCGTGCGCGAGGACTCGCACTGCTCGGCCTGTCGAGGGCGGAAGTCGTGGAGCTAGGGGCCGAGGTCGAGGCCAGGCGCTGCAGAGGTGAACTCCCCGTGGAGGAGGAGGACCTCTTCGGCTGCCTTGGCCCCTCCTAACTCGTTTGTTTTTGTTGCATGTGAATTGGGTCACTCCCTTCGTGGTCGTGGGCGTCCTCCTCCTCCTCCTCCTCCTCCTCCTCCTCCTCCTCCTCCTCCTCCTCCTCCTCCTCCTCCTCCTCCCCCTCCTCCAGGAGGGCTAGCCCTGAGGTCCTGGCGCTTCGATGTTCGCGAGCCGGCGTTTTGTCGTCAGGTTTCTCGGGCCCGTGGGACCCTCACAGATCGAGCTGGCTCGACACATGCTGAAAACTGATGGTGCTCAGGATCCAGTCGTGATTGTTTAACTCGAAGAAGAAAAAACACATGAACATAAATTTCTGGCGCTCCGCGCGGATTTCTTGGATCCGCGATGGGCACCCTTGGCGGCGCCGGAGGCGCCGCCCCTGGCGCGCTCCGCGCGCCAGGGAGGGGGGACCGGCGCAGATCCAAGAAGTCCGCGCGGAGCGCCAAAAGTTTACGTTTCATGCGTTGTTTCTTCTTCTTCTTCTTCTTCTTCTACTTAGGGCTCCAGTCGTGATTGTCTTACCTCGGCATTGCTCGGACGTGTGCAGTTTTCTTTCGGCGAAAACTATCGAGGAGCATCCTTGATCATTTGGCGGAAAAAAACAAAAAAAACACGAAACCGAAAAAAAACACAGGGAGTGGACGTCCGAGCGATGCCCGGTTACGGTGTTTCGATCTCTCCGCGCCGTCGGATCTCAGGGGAAGCCCACAAGACCCCCGTGGAAGCCCAGGCACGCAGGCCGCTCCTGCCGCATCGCACGCAGCGATCGGCGAGCCGCGCACCAGCGGCTACGGCAGGCTCATGCGGCGAGGGCGCGCTGGCGACGCCGGCGGCGACGTCCAGGGCTGGACTCTGCGGCGCGGGAGCACCGAGGGTCGGGCCAGACGAAAGGGGGGGGATTGGGAAAGGGGGGGGTACGAAATTTGCTGCATGCAGCTGGTTTCGGCCTCACCGAGGGGCCCGTTCCTCGATACATGGCCGCCTCCGGCGCCGGGAGGCGCCGGGAAAATCACCTACGCGAGCTGATTCTCAAACCCCCCCTTTGCTGTCCCCCCCACCCTTTCGCCCGACCCGAGAGGGGCACGGTGACACCACTGGACCCGACGGACCTCAACCTTGAAAGATCGGGGCCGCGATCGGCTCGAGGCTGAACGATCGACGCGGTGTCAAGCACCTCTGCGCGTGCCGACGTCGCACGAGCCGAGCGCACTCCTCTCGCCCAGGGTCACTCCTGCGTTCCGCGGGCGAGGCAAGCCCCACCAGCGGCCAGGGCAGCACCTTCCATGCACGCGTAGCGTTCTCCATGCCGGCGCCCGAGTCCGAGGCGAGAAGGTCGCAGTGCTCCGAGGCCTCCGCCGGCTCCGCGCGAGGTTTTGGCACTCAGGCGTCGTCGGCGGTCGGTGGAGGCCGGCGCCATCCTCAGTCTCGGTGGTCGGAAGAGAAAGGGTGGGCATGGGGGCAGCGGGGCCTGAGTCGAAGAAGAAAAAACACATGAACATAAGATTTGGCACTCCGCGCGGATTCCTTGGATCCGCGCCCGGGCCGCCCCTGGCGGCGCCTCCGGCGCCGGCCCTGGCGCGCTCCGCGCGCCAGGGAGGGGGGACCGGCGCGGATCCAAGGAATCCACGCGGAGCGCCAAAAGTTTACGTTTATGGCGTTCTTCCTTCCTCCAGAGGGAGGGAGAGGGTCGGCAGGGGGGCAGCTGGGCTGGAGGGAAACGAGTCCCGAGGGTGCTCGCCGCTTTTGGCTTCCCCGACCCTCCACGGGCCGTGGGACCGTCAGGGAACGACTCGGGATGAAGACGTGGTCCTGGGTGAAGCAGTGGCGAAGCGGCCTGGCTCGCCTATAGCCCTACCAAACAATGTTCTAAGAATCGCTTGTGGTTTCCACGAAATGTTCTCAGACCATGTTTGGCAAGGTCAGTCTTGTTTGAGCACATAGGCTTTATCTTCGAAGAACACTGTTGTTGTTCTCAGAATATTTGGGGGTTCTAAGAACACTTCGTGGTAGGACTATAGGAATGCCAGGACGGTCGGTCCCTGCTCAACTGGGGGAAGGCCCCAGGGTCCAGGACCCGTTTCCCTCAGTACCCGCTTCCCCCATGCTGAAACAGGTCCCGATACCGCTACCTTTCCATCGTTTTCGCCTCTTTGGGGCTTCCTGGGAGGCCCTCGTCGCCACGGCTGGATTCGCCTCGAAAGTCTAGTCAGAACGCGCCTTGGGAGAAAGGTCCGGGGAGCACCTGTATCGGTACATGTTGGTCCCCCTCTGGGAACAGACAGTGACACAAACATCATGTTTCGGAGGCCCGCGCCGATCCGAGAAGTCCCTGAGGACCTCCGAAAGTTGCTGCTGACGTCAGCGTTCCCCGATTCCCCACAGGTGGGGTCGGCCCTCCATGTTCGGCATCGGCATATGGAAGAAACTGTTGGACCGGCCATCCGTGCGTCGAGGGCGGCGGGCCATCCAGCGAGGGAGGCGGGCCTTGAACAATTCCCTTTTTGCCCAGGAGGTTGAGCAGAAGAGCTGGCTCGCGGGGGTCGTGAGCAGCGCCAGGTTCGTTCGCTTGCAAATCATGGGAGCCGTACAAAGACGTTGACGACGACGACAGCACGACGAAGAAAACGACAACGACGACTACGGTCTTTGGGGCGCATTGGCGTGCGCTTTTGGTAATTGACGGGCAAGCGCAGATTTAGCGTCAATGTGTTTGTGTGTGTGTGTGTGTCGAGTTGCGTCGATTAGCGCAGCGTCGAGTCACAAGAGCCAGAAAGATGGCACGGGAGGCTCCCATGAGGTCGTCGGCGTCGTGCCTGACATGGACCTTTTCAGGGTTCTCAATCCTTGTTCGGTTGTTCCCTCCACCCAGCCCCCCCAAGGTTCGAGCTGACCATGGCCATTATCATTCTGCTCAATACGTTCTGCATCGCGGTCGAGGCTCAGTACCAGGGCATCGACTCGGGCTACGACTCGGGGGTTGCGCCGAATATACGTCAGCCCGCCGACAAGGCATGGCCAGGGGCCACCAGTGTTTTCTTGGGGCTCGAGTGGTTCTACGGAGTATTGTTTACATCCGAGCTCATAGTCAAACTCGTGGCTGTACCGCAGAAGACCTTGAAGGACGCTTGGAGCGTGATCGACGTCCTCGTTGTCGCCTTCTTTTGGATCGAGGCGCTAGAAAGGGACCTCCCGTTCCCACCGACTTTGATCCGCTTGGCACGGATGGCGCGGTTATTGCGATTCCTTAGGGTGGTGAAGACAATCAAAGGTTTCGGTTCGCTCTACCTAATGTTGCAGTCGATCAAAGGCAGTGTTTCCGCCCTCGGCTGGGCCAGCGTTGTAGTGCTAATGGGCGAGATGGTCTTAGCTTTGGCGCTGAACTTGTTGGTGAGAGATTACTGGGAGAACGAGAGCTTGGACCTCGAAGAGAGGGAGGTGCTGTTCGAGTACTTTGGCACATTCACAAAATCGCTGCTGACAATGATTGAAATGCTACTGGGCAACTGGTTCTCCGTCACACGGATACTCATACGTTTCAACGAGTGGTTCATGGTTTTTGGCATTTGCCATCAGTTGGTCTTCGGTTTCGCGGTGATCGAAGTCATCTCGGGCGTGTTCCTGAACGAAACATTCAAAGTCGCAGCCCTCGACGACAGCATCATGCTGGAAGAGGCAAGAAGAACTGCGAAGGCGGAGAGCGATAAGCTGACAGAGTTTTTCAACATGGCGGATGAGGACGACAATGGGTACGTGGACCCAGACGAACTCAGAAGGGCCCTGGAAAACAAAAAGGTCACAGAGTGGCTGAGTGCCATGGGCCTGGACCTGTCCGACGTCGACAGGGTATTCAGCCTGCTGGACAAGGACCGTGACGGGCGGCTCACGTGCGAGGAGCTGGTGCGAATCGCCGTGCTGCTGAAGAAGCCTGCGCGGGCGGCGGACATCGCGGTCCTGAAGTCGCTGCTCGAGGAAGTGAAGGCCTGCATCGATCCCGCGAAGCCGTAGCGACACGAGGCGCCGGCAGCCCGGGAGAGCGGCAGAGCGCACAGAGACGTTCGCGCCAAGCGCGCCATGCGTCCTCCTCCTCCTCCTCCTCCTCCTCCTCCTCCTCCTCCTCCTCCTCCTCCTCCTCCTCCTCCCCCTCCCCCTCCTCCTCCTTTTCCTCCCTCCTCCGCCTCCTCCTCCTCCTCCTCCTTTTCTCCCTCCTCCTCCTCCTCCTCCTCCTCCTCCTCCTCTCCTCCTCCTCCTCTTCCTCCTTTTCCTCCATCCTCCGCCTCCTCCTCCTACTCCTCCTCTCTCCTCCTCCTCCTCCTCCTCCTCCTCCTCCTCCTCCTCCTCCTCCTCAACCATCTCGGGCCCGAGCATTCTGAGCCTAGGGCCTGTGGGGGATCTGCCCGAGGCCCAGCCCCCTCCCGCCGCTCCCTCCTGCGGCCGCCCTGGGGGGCCCTTCCCGCGCCTCGGCGCGCCCATCGGCGCGCAGCGCCCCGCCACCCTCCTCCTCCTCCTCCTCCTCCTCCTCCTCCTCCTCCTCCTCCTCCTCCCTCCTCCTCCTCCCTCCTCCCTCCTCCCTCCTCCCTCCTCCCTCCTCCCTCCTCCTCCTCCTCCTCCTCCTCCCTCCTCCCTCCTCCCTCCTCCCTCCTCCCTCCTCCCTCCTCCCTCCTCCCCCTCCCTCCTCCCTCCCCTCCTCCCTCCTCCTCCTCCCTCCTCCCTCCTCCCTCCTCCTCCTCCTCCTCCTCCTCCTCCTCCTCCTCCTCCTCCTCCTCCTCCTCTCCTCCTCCTCCTCCTCCTCCTCCTCCTCCTCCTCCTCCTCCTCCTCCCTCCTCCTCCTCCTCCTCCCCTCCTCCTCCATCCTCCTCCTCCTCCCTCCTCCCTCCCCTCCTCCCTCCTCCCTCCTCCCTCCTCCCTCCTCCCTCCTCCTCCTCCCTCCTCCCTCCTCCCTCCTCCTCCTCCTCCTCCTCCTCCTCCTCCTCCTCCTCCTCCTCCTCCTCCTCCAGCTGCTCGAACGCGTCAGCGGCCGATGGCGCTGCCGATCAAAAGTGTTGTCCTGAGACCCCACCCCGAGGTTCCCACCACGTCCCCGCCGCCGCGAGCCCCCTCTCCGGCTTCGCCCCCTCTTGCGGCGGGGGCGCTCGCGAAGGAGTGTGCCAGGGAGGCTTCGGACCCTGGAGGATTCGATTCCCTACGCCCGTCAGAAATCTTAAGAACAAGGGGAAGCGTTTGTGGACTCCAGATTTCGGCCAAGAAGATCAAGATTCTGGACTGGACCCTGGGCGATGTCATGGAGCTTCCTTTCTTCGTAGAGAGTTCGTATACGTGGATCTGGATTATTGTTTAAGACAAACATTGGAGTGAAGTCGATTCTCTTCGCGTAAAATATTCTTAACTTTGAGCTGGGGTGTAGCTGACGAGGGCGACGGAGATGTCCAGGGCCAACCCACGAGTGGAGTTCCACCGACTTCCAGACCCTGGAGTCCTTATCCAAGGGCTCTGTATCCAATGCCCTCACCGTAGTCCGATTTGAAGTTTCGTTTCGAAGATGCACGCCAAAAGACGATGCGAGAACGTGCGGGGAAAATAATACCTCAGAAATGGAGGGCGGACATTTCCCCATAGTTCTGGCGGAGACAGCGACGGCAAAGTAGGGCGGAAATCGGCATCAACGGAGCTTGAAACGTAGGGCGGACATGTCCGCCTTACGTGGGAAATCGCCCAGAGAACGGTGGATTCCTCCCTGGAGGGAAACACACATATTTTTATATATAGAGAGAGAGAGAGAGAGAGAGACAGACAGAGAGACACTCGTCGATTATCAGAAAGCTTTGGAAATATGGGAAGTGGAGGGGAGGACGAACCTCCAGAAAACATGGAACAGTATAGGGAGTCCTGGGACCTGTGTCTATCCGTAAAGGCTTCGCCCCCTGCCGCCGGCCCCCCTCCCTTAGCATGGGACTTGCCAGAGCTGTGTTGGGATGTCTGGACGCTGACATGAAGCAATGTCGGGACTTCACGCGACGGCCAATATTAATTTACGAGGGGTTACGGCTTCGGTGACGCGAATAGCACGTTATTTACTAGGTTTATGGTTTCGGGGACGCGAGTATCGTGTGATCTACAAGGGTGTGTGGTCTTGGGGACGCAAATATTGTGTAATGTACGAAGGTTGATGGCCCTGGGGATGCGAATATTAGGCAAGTTTCAAAAGTTTACAGCTTCGGGGGTGCGAACATTATGTAAGCTACGTTGGTGTATGGCCTTGGGGGCGCGACTATTCTGTAACGTATGAGGGCTTATGGCTTCGGGAATGGAATACCGTGTCATATACGATGGGATATGGCTTCGGGGCCCCGAGTATTCTGTAAACCACAAAAAGTTATGATTCCGGGAGCGCGAAGATTGAGTAATTTACGAAGATGTACGGCTTTGGGGACGCGACCAGTATCATTTACGAGGGTTCATGGCCTTGGGGACGCGAATATGGTCGGGATTCTGGCCTCGGGGACGCGAATATCAGCTATTATTTTTACGTGTCCCACGACACCCCGGAATTCAGACAACGCGATTCGGGGACGCTAATCAGGACGCTTCTCGGTTCCCTCCCCTCGCGCGTGCAGCAACAAGTAACAGCACGGAAGCAGAAAGCAGGACTGCAACAACAGTGGAAAAAGTTGGAAACCGCAACTGGCATGGGGAGCTGCAAGCCTAGTCTTCGCAGACGGATGGCCCCGCCAGGGGGGCCGGCGGATATGTTTGTGTGACCTCGGGCGCATTCGTCCCCTGGTCGTCGTCTTCGCAATCGTCTTTCTCATGCGGACGAGTGAGGAGGATAATCAAGAATATGGTTGTGAACGTTCGGGGGGCATGTGGTCATACGTATCCCTTGTGAGCGTTCGGGGAGCTCGCCTACATTACATGTGATCGCGATGCTGCTGCAAGTTCTCGCGCAACCCTTTCCCTCCACGCGCTTCCCGTTCATGTCAGGAAAGGTTTGTTTGTCTGCCCCTGGGCGCCTTCATCTTTATCCGATGGTCCCGCGCCTCTCGACCGCCACACGCCCGCCCCTCTCCTCAAAGTCGCTCCTCGAGTCGCGGAGCGCGGAGGTGGCAAGGCCCCCTCCTCCTCCCCCCAAAAAATCCTCATCTTCCTCCTCCTCCTCCTCCCCCTCCTCCCCCTCCTCCTCCTCCTCCCCCTCCTCCTCCACCTCCTCCTCCTCCTCCTCCTCCTCCTCCTCCTCCTGCTCCTCCTCCCCCTCCCCCTCCTCCTCGTCCTCCTCCTCCTCCCCGTTCGAGGACCCCCTCCTCCCCCCAAAGAAACCCGCCCCCCTCATGCCGAGGCACGGAGGCACTGAAAGTCGGTGAGTCCGCTGGACGCGGCCATTCCCCCCCCCCAGGGCAGCTCGACCCTGGGGAGGGGGGTGATCAAATCATTGAGCCAAGTGGCTCCAGGGGCGGTCGCCCCTGGAGTCACCGGCTGGTGAGATAAGCTGTAACAGGCTGGTGGGGTCTCCTCGTCGTCGTCCTCCTCCTCCTCCTCCTCATCTTCCCCTCCTCCTCCTCCTCCTCCTCCTCCTCCTCCTTCTTCTCCTCTGCCTCCTCCTCCTCTTCCCTCCTCCTCCTCCTCCTCCTCCTCCCCCTCTCCTCCTCCCTCTCTCCTCCTCCTCCTCCTCCTCCTCCTCCTCCTCCTCCTTCTCCTCCTCCTCCTCCTCCCGCCGCTCCCCCTCCTCCTCCTCCTCCTCCTCCTCCTCCTCCTCCTCCTCCACCTCCTCCTCCTCCTCCTCCTTCTCCTCCTCCTCCTGCTCCTTCTCCTGCTCCTCCTCCCTCTCCCCCGCCCCGTTCGAGGGCCTCTCGGGAACCCATCGGGGGCCCTGTGGGGCAGATTCCTTGGGATCCCTAGTCTACAACCCTTGGGATTTCTTCCCAGGGATTTTCACTTCTGATTCCACTGGGCTTGCTCCTGCAGAACCCTGGGAAGCCCGTTCCCAGGGCTTCTAGAGTAGCGAACCCAGGCTATGCCCTCTGTGGGGGGTATGGGCCTCTCTCGAGAGTCCCCTGCGGGATGACTTCTCTCCACGGCGCGAGGCGGCCCCGGACTCGTAGACGAGCGGAGAAGTGCATGCGAGTAAGCTGTTGGAGGTCCGCGCAGGCTGTGCTTGGATCGGCGATGCACACCCCTCCCTGGCGCGCGGAGCCCGCCGGGGCAAGCTGGCGCCGCCAGGGGTCCAGTCGGAGGTTGCTGAAGGTGCCCTGCTCCTCTTCCTACCCCTCCTCCTCTTCCTCCTCCTCCTCCTCTTCCTCCTCCTCCTCCTCCTCCTCCTCCTCTTCCTCCTCCTCCTCCTCCTCCTCCTCCTCCTCCTCCTCCTCCTCCTCCTCCTTGGCCCAGGGTGCCCCCAGCCTGTCGCTCCACTCTGGAGCCCGCTGGGGCCCTCCAGGCTTCGTGTGCGCTCTGGAGGCCGCGTGGGCCTCCCTGGAGATCCTCGGGGGCAACCTTGGGCCAGGGGCAGTTCTCAGGCAGTGCCAAGGGGGGTCACCACTGGGGGGGTCGCCAGCTTCTCCTGGAAATCGAGGTTCCAGGATGGAGAGTCGAGGGGTCGAGGATGTTCTTGGACGTTTCTTTGCGTTTTCGGGGCTCTGGGGGGCCCAGTTCCTCGAGGAAGTCTCGAGGAAGTGGCGTTTCCTCGAGGAAGTGGCGACCCCCCTAGTGGTGACCCCCCTTTGCACTGCCCCAATTTCTAGCAACACGCGATCCAGCGCCGATCCGAAAAGTCCGCGCGGAAATCCGAAACTTCACGTTCGTTTCATGATTTGGTCCTCGATGCGTGTTCCCTCGGCGGAATTGTTTGCCCGCGGAAATCGGCGGCGAGCCCAGGGGGGGAACTGAGAGGGGACAAGCCTTCTCAGAAGCCGGCGGGGCTTCTCAGAAGCTTTCGCGCCTCCTGAATGGCCGCTTCTGTCTTCGGAGAAGAAGTGGGCCATGTGTCAGAAGGCCAGAGGCCTTCCGCGCCTTCTAACAAGGCCCACTCCCTCTGGCTTCCCCCCTGGGCTCGCCGCCGGGAGGAGGGTACGACACAGCCCAGCGGTCGGTACGGTCCGGACGGCTGCAGCAAGAAGCGGAGCGAAGACCGACGGCAGTTGCTGCCCATGCTGGACCGGGCCCGCCGTCGACCTCGCCGCAGGCGTTGCCGTCGGAGGCAAGAGGTGGCCTGCCCAACGGCGGCCGCTGGCCTCGTTGGAAAACATGTGACTGCGGGCATAGCTTATGATGCTCCAACCTATGCTAGTCTTGATCGCCAGGAAGAAGTTTGAGCACCAGAAAAAAGTACCGGAACTCGAGGGTGTTCACGTGTCGAGCCCTGGGAGACACTCGCCCGACACTGTTTCGACACTCTTTCGACACTCTTTCGACACTTTTCCGGGTGCTCGAAATTATTTCTGGCATGGGGCCCGTTAGTACGATGGGAGCAATATAATGGAGGATGACGATTAATAAATGACTGGGGGTCGTGCTCACGCGGCGGCGCCCGGGATGACGAGTAGAAAGAACCGGCCGCGGGCCGGAACATGATTGTTTCAATGGTTCTCGTCCCGTCAGAAAATCGTGCAGAATTGGCAGAAAGCGATGTTTGAATCGCTTTCTCCCATTCTCTATCAATCGTCCTCCCGCATTAAGGCATGGTGCCCATCATTGTCTTACCCATGTCGGGCGTGGCGAGGGGGGCGCCCCTCGGTCATCTCCGCGCCGGCGGGGGTCCCGGCACGTGCACGGCCCCGCTCGATCCTGACCTCCAGGAAGCCGGGAGGGCATCCCGTGGCCGGCCCGGGCGAGGTCAGGATGCGCATGCGCCCGCATGTCTTTCCAGCGCTGTGCGGCAGTGATGAGGAGGAGGAGGAGCAGGAGGAGGAGGAGGAGGAGCAGGAGGAGCAGGAGGAGGATGAGCAGCAGGACCAGGCGTTGCCATCATGGCACTCGCTGCCATCATGGCGGTCCTCCCTCCACGTCTGTCGTTTCACCCTTCTCTGATCGTGTGCCACGATCGCGCTTCACCGTTCTTCAGCGCGGCTGCGAGCGAGCAGCGTTGTTTAGTCAGTTGTCCGTTTGATGTGGCAGCGCTTCCCTTTAGATGCGCAGTCCTACATTTTTTTCAAGGCACTTCGGCCGCCGGCTGGCCGCACCTTGCAGTACCCCGCGCGGTGCACGATGTTGGACGCAGGCCTTGCTCAATGCAGGACGCAGGCCCTGCTTTCGCGTTGCTCGGCGGCGACCGAGGGGGGGAAGTGAGAAGGAGAAGGCCTTCTCAGAAAATTCGGAAGTCCCCTGGCCTTCTGGGAAGTTTTCTGAGCCTTCTCCGAAGACAAAAGAAAAACTCCTCGGAAGGCGCGAGGGCGTCTGAGAAGTCCCGCTGCCCTCCGAGGAGACCTTCTCCTTCTCGCTTCCCCCCCCGCTCGCCGCCGAGCTGCAGCAGCGCGGCGCGTACTTTTTTTCCGCACGCCCGGTCGTCGGAAGCGGGGCGCCGTTGCCACGAGAGCAAGAAGTTGTGCGCCGCCCTTCTCCACGGGGCCACATGCGAACCCCACCCCCCACCCCCCACGAGTTCTCAGAGGGATGGTGGGCTTCACTTCGCTCACCCTCCCCCTCAGAAATCCCTAGCGAAGTGAAACCCAGCCTCTCCCTCAGAGCGCAGTGAACCCCACCCCAGGCATGGTACGGTTCTCCCGAGCGAAGTGAACCCCGCCCCCCCCCTCACAGAAATCGTGGGGGGGGGGGTCGGGTTCGCATGTGGCCCCCTATCTTCGCCCCCGTCCGCTCGCTCGCTCGCTCAGAGGGAGGGTGGGGTTCACTTCGCCTCCCTCCCCCTCAGAAATCGTGGGGTGTGGGGGGGTCGGGTTCGCATGTGGCCCCCTATCCTCGCCGCCCTCCGCTCGCTCGCTCGGCCCCCCCCCCCCGCTCGGGCGAGGCGCGGGCCTCGCCTTTCCCACACCCTCTGCTCGCTTTTATCGCCCTCCTCCTCCTCCTCTTCCTCCTCCTCCTCCTCCTCCTCCTCCTCCTCCTCCTCCTCCTCTCTTCGCCACGCAGAGGTCTTCTGGGAGGTCTGCTGCCACACGCGCGAAGGGCCCGAGGCTTCCCTTCGCAAATCGCCGGCGGACACAAGGCAGCCCGCACGCAAGAGCGCACGCAAAAGCACCTCCCGTTCTATGGATGGGAGCGCTTTTGCCAGTGAGAGTCCGACCCCTTGTCTTAAGTCGGGCAAGTCCCAGAACGGGAGTGTTCGACTATGTTTGATTACGTTTGAGACTATTGTTCAGCTTCTGCCCAAAATCCGCCTGTAGGAGGACATGCCCGACCTAGCCTTGTCCCCTCGCACTCCTCCCCCCCGCGAATCGGGCGCTGCCAGATGCGACCCTTGCCTG